TTGCAGCACGGATGATGCATGCTGCGTGCGTGCGTGCGTGCGTGCGTGCGTGCGTGCACTTTGACTGTCGCTTTTCACTCTGATGCATGTGATCCACTCGCACGCTTCTCCCCGCGGCCAGTCACAGTGCATGCGGACCTGATATGGAACGGCTTCGTCGAGATGACGTGCACGCTTTGACACAGCAGTACTCTCTCCCTCCTCGATCCAACCCATCCAATCCGCCTCATCCAACTTCTTCCATCCCGACATTATCCGTGGTCATCGAGCCATTACCGCGCATTCATCTCGACTCTTCACTTATCGTTTCGGCCAGATACTACGCTCTCTCCGGGTGAACGCGGCGAATCCGGCAATATCCGAGTTGCACGCCAGCACCGGCCTGTTGCACCTCGAAAGCATTCGGGCCTGCTCTGCGGAGATTCAGCACATTGCGCTGCGCGAGCCTGAGCACCTGTCGTCAAATACGATACACGGCGCATTGGGCCAGTAGCCTACCACCTGAAGGGTAGCGGAAGCCATCGGGCAGAGATTGGCTGCTGTCCCATCCTAGAAGCTCAGGTAGCATCGAGAGCAGAGTCGTTGCGATCAACATGAGCTATCAACCATTCAGCGATAGCACGGAGGCGAGCAGTAGTGGCGGTATTGCAGGAGCATCAACAATATCGTCCACAGTGGATAGTGTCATGACGGGACGACCTTCGATGAACTCTCATCGATCTTCACATTCCCAAGATTTGACATTCAAGAGCGCAACAGGAGCAGGAGCCAGTCTGTTTGGACCTTCGTCTCCTTCTACCGACATCTTGAACGGATCAGGCACCCTTCAGGGATCCATCTCTCCTCACGCACAGCATCCGCTCAGTCCAAGCGGCAGTACGCTGAGCGGGACCAACACGATCGGAGTATCCAAGACTTCAGCTTCTCACGATGAACAGGTCTTGGCAGCTTTACCAATCTCGACTTCCTTCGATGAAGCGACACTGCGAGCGTTGTGCGATATGGAGTGCGGAACACCTCTGTTGTATGATAGGATCAAACAGTCCATCATCAGTGCTCAAGCTACCTCTACATTCTTGAAGAAGAGGGCGGCGATCGAAGAGGACTACGCAAGGAGCTTGATGAAGCTGTCCAGATCAACCGCAGAGAGCTATGCAGCCGGCGAAGGCAAGGCTGGGTAAGTCGCAAAGTGGAGGGTCATGCAAAAGGTGCACGCTGTGCTCGCAATGCTGGCGAGGAGGAGGTTTGCTGCGGGCCGCCCCTGCATACAGCCGCGGCAAGGGATTCCATCCAATCCTCAAGCGCCATGAGCCGCGCGTGGTGCAGTGCAAATCTCGTTGCACCCATCGCTCACTAGGTGGCGCACACGTCGGAGGAGCGAGGTGTGCTGTGCCGATACTCGCACGCTAACATTCTCATTTGTGCCCTATGCCAGCACGTTTGTCTCCTCATGGCAGCACATGATGCGCACGCATGACCAGCTTGGAGAGAATCGATTGCGATTTGCGGTCAAGTTGGGCGAGATGAGCGAAGAGCTAGCTACGTTGAGCAAAGAGGTGGACAAGAATCGCAAGCAGGTGAGCACATTCGGCGAGGCTGTGGGCGAGGCTGTGGGCAAGATCCGTGCAGGATGGGACTGACTATCACTTGGACCTGCCGGCTGCCCGTTTTGCTAGGCTCGAGAAACCGGTTTGCGGCTGGAGCGAAATTTGCAAGATTCGGAAGCGAGCGTGGAAAAGGCCCGCACGCGATTCGATGCTACAGCCGAAGATCTGGAGAGGTTGCTGCTGCTCAAGTCGGGCGAGTCGACCAAGTCGGGCGAAATCCAGTCGTCTGGTCCCCCAGGCAAGAGGACGCTGGGAAAAGCTATTGGCAAGAGCGGCCTGCTGTTCAAGAACAAGAATCCGCAACAGATCTTGAAACAGGAGGAAGATATTCGGAGCAGGACTTCGACGGCGAGCGATGCGTTTAGAAAAGAGGTTCTGGCTACGCAGGGCGTCAGGCAGGAATACTTTAATCTGCAGTTGCCGAGGATTCTAAGGGTACGTGCACGCACGTTTTCACTGGCCATTGGTCCTCAATTTGCCAGCTCATCGTTCTTCTCCGTCCTGACAGGCACTCAAAGAGAGCTCAGAAGAGATAGACAACGGCCTACAGTATCACTTGACGAGGTATGCCTTCCTGTACGAATCGACGATCCTGGGAGATGGGATGGCAGTCTCCCCTATACCCGCTGTTGAAGGTGCGTATCCGAGCATTGCTCGCGAGAGCTCTGAGCCGCTTGTACCTAGAACGAAGCGTTTGCGGTGCTCATAGGCAGTGCCTGATCCTTGCAAGCAGGCAACCCCGGCCTCAAGACTGCTGCCGAGTCCATCGACAACAGGACCGACTTTAGGACATTCATGTCCAACTACCAGATCGTACATGCGCGCGACTACAGAGGCCCGCGACGCGAGGGTCCTTACGAAGAGGGTTTTGTGAGTACCGAACGGGTAGGCTCCAGGCGTGAACGTGCTGTGCTCGAGGCTCAATCCGTAAGGTCTTCTGGACTACGTTCAGCTCAATAACCCGGCCATGAGCGGACTAGCTTCTGCTAAGAGCACTTCTGCACCGTCCACGAAGCCCACACGGCCGATATTCGGTGTGCACCTGGCCGACCAGATGGCAAGGGATGGAGTAGAGATTCCGCCGATTCTTGAAAAATGCGCAGAGGCGATCGAAGCTGTCGGATTGCAGAACATGGGCATCTACAGGTTATCGGGAACAACTTCCAAAGTGCAAAAGCTCAAGGGAAAGTTCGATGCAGACTGGAACGGCGTGGATTTGATGAACGATGAAGCTATCAACGATATCAACATCGTCGCTGGTTGCCTCAAGCTTTGGTTCAGAGAATTGCCGGAACCGCTCATGACTTGGGAGCTGTATCAGGGCTTCATCGATGCTGCTAGTGAGTCGCTGTCGAGAGGGGGATATTGCATGACGTACACCCACTGAATGCGCTTGCTTCGCGCGGCTTGAACTTGCAGAGGTGGAGAACGATCGGCTGCGGCACATACGGATGCACGAGCGCGTCAATGATCTGCCCGACGCGAATTACGCGACGTTGAAGTACCTGATGGGTCATCTGGACAAGTGGGTATGGCACCGTACAGTTGATCTTTCATGCAATAACTGATCCCGCTCTTTGGTTCCCTCACTCGTCTCCTTGTCCGACCGTTGCGCTCAGGATCCGATCCGAATCGGATCACAACCAAATGTCCATTTCGAACCTAGCCATCGTCTTTGGGCCCACACTTTTGAGCCCTCCTCCTGCTGATCTGTCAACGCACCCCGCATCCAACGGGACAGGTATCGGCGATAATGCTGCCAATGCTGGAGGCGCGGATGCTGCAGCTGGAGCGCTGGGGGGAGCTCAATTGCAGGATATGAGCTGGCAGTGCAAAGCAGTAGAGACTATCCTGGAAAGATATGCCGCCATCTTTGTGGACGAAGGCGAAGAATGAGCATGGCACGCTGATTAGCCTCGCCGGATTGCCGTGCGTGGCCCTCTCTGCCGCATTTGCCAAGTCAGCCCCCACCCTATTTTTGTCGCTTTTCACCACACTTTGAACTCGGGAAACATTGCTCGCTTGCTCACCCGTCTCGTCGTCGTCGTCTGTGTTTGTAAAACTCGATCTTGCTCTTTTAACCTCTTTCCTTGTTGGAAATGGATGCTCGCTCCTTTCAATCAAAAGCCTTCTCGCTCCGCCCGCTGCATTTGTGCCAGGTGAAAGAAGCGTTGTTGGGAGTTTAACACCTTGATCGAACCCTCTTGGAATGGACGTTGTCGATGGACCGGCTAATTACATGCAGCCATGTAGA